GTGTTCTGCAAACCGGTGCTGGTAAGCCGGACGTCTCCTGCGTCGGGCCCGCGCGATGAACGAAAGAAAAAAAAACGGTGCCGACCTCTTTTTCGTTGGTAACGGCCTTGTTTTCGTTAGTACCTGCCTGCATTTTTTTTTTGGGTACCGTCCTCTTTCAAGGTTGGTACCGGCCTCTTCGGGGCTGGTGCTGGCCTCTTTTTTGCTGGGTACCGGCATCTTTGGATAGTCACCGGCCTCTTCTTCGCCGCTGCCGCCGCCGATTTAGGCCACGCTTCCTCTTGTTCTCCTTCCTCCTTGAAACCTACGCAGCGCAGCTTGTGCTTCATATTGTGTGCTTGGTATAGATTGTACCATGGTACACGGTTTTTGTTCCTCATTGGGGGATGGCAAGAGAGGAGAAGAGAAGGAGATGATAGAAGAGAGATGAACATGTGAGAAGAGACGCATCAGTGCTGGATGAGTAGATAAGAGGAGGATAATTGGAAAGGAAAGCGGTAGAGAACATCGACACGAAGAGGAGAGCAGCGTTGTGCCCTCAGTAGATTCCACGACGACTCGCAAAGGTATGTGGGATGGGAAGATCTCCCCTTTTCTCTCCCCCCACCTTGTTTTTTTCTGCAAAATGTCAAAAATGTGTCATTTATTGATTGGTTGGGAGATCGTCACTTTCCCCACCATAGGGTAGATGATTGGTGGGGAAATCAGGTGGGGCCCCACCTTTTTTTTTTTCCGAAATATGTCAAAAAGGTGTAATTTTTTGATTGGTTGGTAGATCGTCAGTTTCCCCACCATTGGCTAGATAATTGTTGGGGGAAAAACGTGGGGGGAGATTTGCGAATCTCCCCCCACTTTTTTTTTTCGAAAAATTTGAAAAAAGGTCTCATCCCTTGATTCGTTGGTAGATTGTCACTTTCCCCACCATTGGCTAGGTGATTGGTGGGGAAATGAGGTGGGGCCCCCCATCTTTTTTTTTTTTACCGAAAAATGTCAAAAATGTGCACTTTTTTTATTGGTTGGTGGATCGTCACTTTCCCCACCATCGCGTAGATGATTGGCGGGGGAAAAACGTGGGGGGAGATTCGCGAATCTACCCCCATATTTTTTTTTCCGGAAAATGTGAAAAAACGTCTCATCCCTTGATTGGTTCGTAGATCGTCACTTTTCCCACCATTAGCTAGTAGATGATTGGTGGGGAATTGAGTTGGGGGGAGATTCGCAAATCTCCTCATCTTTTATTTTTTCGAAAAATGTCAACAATGTGCACTTTTTTGATTGGTTGGTAGATCGTCATTTTCTTCACCATTGGCTAGATGATCGGTGGGGGAAAAACGTGGGGGAATCTCCCCCCACCTTTTTTTTTTCGAAAAATGTGACAAAAGGTCTCATCCCTTGATTGGTTGGTAGATCGTCACTTTCCCCACCATTGGCTAGGTGATTGGTGGGGAAATGAGGTGGGGGGAGATTCGCGAATCTCACCACCTTTTGTTTTTCGAAAAATGTCAAAAATGTGCAGTTTTTTTATTGGTTGGTAGATCATCACTTTCCCCACCATTGGCTAGATGATCGGTGGGCGAAAAACGCGGGGGGGGGGAAATTCGCACCTTTTTTTTTTCGAAAAATTTGACAAAAGGTCTCATCCCTTGATTGGTTGGTAGATTGTCACTTTTGTCACTTACCCAAGCATTGGTTAGGTGATAAATGGGAAAATGAGGTGGGGGGAGATTCGCCAATCTCCCTATTTTTTTTTTTTCCCGAAAAATGTCAAAAATGTGCACTTTTTTGAATGGTTGGTGAATCAGCACTTTCCCCACCATCGCGTAGATGATTGGTGGGGGAAAAACGTGGGGGGAGATTCGCCCCACCTTTTTTTTTTCGGAAAATGTGAAAAAAGGTCTCATCCCTTGATTGGTTCGTAGATCGTCACTTTCCCCACCATTGGCTAGTAGATGATTGGTGGGGAAATGAGGTGAGCTCCCCATCTTTTTTTTTTTTCGAANTGAGCTCCCCATCTTTTTTTTTTTTCGAAAAATGTCCAAAAAGGTCTCATCCTTTGATTGGTTCGTAGATCGTCACTTTCCCCACCATTGGCTAGGTGATTGGTGGGGAAATGAGGTGGGGGAGATTCACGAATCTCCCCACTTTTTTTTTTTCGAAAAATGTCACAAATGTGCACTTGTTTGATTGGTTGGTAGATCGTCACTTTCCCCACCATCGCGCAGATGATTGGTGGGGGAAAAACGTGGGGGGAGATTCCCGAATATCCCCACCTTTTTTTTTTCGGAAAATGTGAAAAAATGTCTCATCCCTTGATTGGTTCGTAGATCGTCACTTTCTTCACCATTGGCTAGTAGATGATTGGTGGGGAAATAAGGTGGGAGGAGATTCGAGATTCTCCCCCCACCTTTTGTTTTTCTTCAAAAAATGTCAAAAAGGTCTCATCCCTTGATTGGTTGGTAGATCGTCACTTTCCCCACCATTGGCTAGATGATTGGTGGGGAAATGAGGTGAGGGGAGATTCGCGAATCTCCCCACCTTTTTTTTTGTTCGAAAAATATCAAAAATGTGTACTTTTCTGATTGTTTGGTAGATCGTCATTTTCTTCACCATTGGCTAGATGATTGGTGCGGGAAAAACGTGGGGGGAGATTCGCGAATCTCCCCCCACCTTTTTTTTTTCGAAAAATGTGAAAAAATGTCTCATCCCTTGATTGGTTCGTAGATCGTCACTTTCCCCACCATTGGCTAGGTGATTGGTGGGGAAATGAGGTGGGAGATGATTCGCGAATCTCCCCACCTTTTTTTTTTCGAAAAATATCAAAAATGTGCACTTTTTGGATTGGTTGGTAGATCGTCACTTCCCCCACCATCGCGCAGATGATTGGTGGGGGAAAAACGTGGGGCCCACCTTTTTTTTTTCAGAAAATGTGAAAAAATGTCTCATCCATTGATTGGTTCGTAGATCGTCACTTTCCCCACCATTGGGTAGTAGATGATTGGTGGGGAAATAAGGTGGGGGGAGATTCGCGATTCTCCCCCCACCTTTTGTTTTTTTTCGAAAAATGTCAAAAAAGGTCTCATCGCTTGATTGGTTGGTAGATCGTCACTTTCCCCACCTTTGGCTAGATGATTGGTGGGGAAATGAGGTGGGGGAATCTCCCCACCTTTTTTTTTTTTTGAAAAATGTCAAAAATGTGTACTTTTCTGATTGTTTGGTAGATCGTCACTTTCCCCACCATTGGCTAGATGATTGGTGGGGGAAAAACGTGGGGGGCGCGAATCTCCCCCCACTTTTTTTTTTCGAAAAATGTGAAAAAAGGTCTCATCCCTTGATTCGTTGGTAGATTGTCACTTTCCCCACCATTGGCTAGGTGATTGATGGGGAAATGAGGTGGGGGGAGATTCGCGAATCTCCCCCCATTTTTTTTTCAAAGAATGTTAAAAATGTGTAATTTTTTGATTGGTTGGTAGATCATCACTTTCCCCACCATTGGCTAGATGATTGGTGGGGGAAAAAGGTGGGGGGAGATTCGCCATGCCGTACCCCCACCTTTTTTTTTTTCGAAAAATGTCAAAAAATGTCTCATCCCTTGATTGGTTGGTAGATCGTCACTTTCCCCACCATTGGCTAGGCGATTGGTGGGGAAATGAGGTGGGGGAGCATCTTTTTTTTTTTTTTGAAAAATGTGAAAAATGTGCATTTTTTTGATTGGTTGGTAGATCGTTACTTTCCCCACCATTGGCTAGATGATTGGTGGGGAAATGAGGTGAGGGGAGATTCCCCCCACCTTTTTTTTTTCGAAATAATGTCAAAAAGGTCTCATTCCTTGATTGGTTGGTGGATTGTCACTCTTCCCACCCTGTATGAGATGAATGGCAGGGAAAGTAGGTGGGTGGATGATTGGGGGGGGGGGGGGGGGGGACGGCGATCGGGCCGGGCATGGGAAAGGAGGGGGGTGGGGGGGGGGGGGGGGGGGTGGGGGGGGGTATGGGTCCTTTATACAACCGGGGGGGGGGGGGGGGGGGGGGGGGGGGGGGGGGGGGGGGGGGGGGGGGGGGGGGGGGGGGGGGGGGGGGGGGGGGGGGGGGGGGGGGGGGGGGGGGGGGGGGGGGGGGGGGCGATTGGCGGTGTATAGGGTACGGCGTTCCGAGAATGCCGTACCCCCACCGGTTATCGGCGGGGGAGGGAGCGGGGATTATCGGAACGCCGTACCCCCGCTCCCTCTCCCGCCGAGAACCGGAGGGGTTACGGCGTCTTGAAAACGCCGTGCACCCCCTCCGGTTGTCGGTCAGGGAGGGAGCGGGGGTACGGCGTTCTCGGAACGATGTACCCCCACTCCTTTCGCTTCCCGGGAACCGGAGGGGGTCCGGCGTACCCATCCGGTTCTCGGCGGGGGAGGGAGCGGGGGTACGGCGGGAGCGGGGGTACGGCGTTCTCGGAACGCCGTACCTCCGCTCCATTCGCTTCCCGGGAAACGGAGGGGGTCCGGCGTACTCATCCGGTTCTCGGCGGGGGAGGTAGCGGGGGTACAACGTTCTCGAAACGCCGACCCCCTCTCCCTCCCCCGCCGAGAACCGGAGGGGGTACGGCGTTTTGAAAACGCTGTACTCCCCCTCCGGTTGTTGGCGAGGGAGGCAGCGGGGGGTACGGCGTTCTCGGAACGCCGTACCCCCGCTCCTTTCGCTTCCCGGGAACCGGAGGGGGTCCAGAGGTTCGAGAACGCAGTACCCCCTCCGGTTCGCGGTGGGGGAAGGGAGCGGGGGTGAGGTGTTATCGTAACAGAGCCGTACCCCCTAGGCCCTGTATGTGGACAGAGCCGAAGGGGTATGGCGTTTTGAAAACGCCGTACCCCCGCCGGTTCGCAGTGGGGGGGGTAAGGGAGCGGGGGTGCGATGTTCTCGAAACGCCGTACCCCCGCTCGTTCGCATCGAGGCAATCGGAGGGGGTGCGGCGTCTTCAAAACGTGATGCGATAGTGAAAGGTTTGATATCTGAAAGCGATCCGTTCTTCTGTTCGGAATGTGCCAACCATCAGGAGGAGCATCTGCTGTCCCAGAAAAGAGAGTCTATAAGACCTGCTCAATGTATAGAGATAGGGAGTGGGCCCTTGATTGGGTGGAGGGCCTACACGAGGCGGGATGTGGGGCTGCTGTGTTTCTGAAGACCGCCACGGGCGATGACTGGTTCTGTGTTGGAGGGATTATTAAATCCGAGGATGAGAGGGCGGACGGGCATGGACGGAAGTTCAGGAGGTTTTTCCTTACAACGGTGTACGACGAACAGGGAGTGGACCATGCGAAGGTCGACCATAAAGTCAGCCTCGAATACAATATGTTCAAGGGGTATGGAGGTAAGGCGATTACCATGAAAGCCTTCGATGTCTCCCCGAGAGAAGACGGGAGTGTATTGACGATGCTTGGCCCCGTGAAATTCCTCGCCAGAACGAACGGGTACATGAGATCTGGAAACAGTTCCACGGTATAGGCCGGGCATCGTATGTCTTCGACACTTGTGCCTTTTGACACGCCGGACGAGGATCTCCCCGGCATAGCAAAGAGAGAGAGACAAATGACGCCATTGTTTTCCAACACAGCAGACGTCAGCGGGTGGAAGCAGGCGCCGCACCAAACGGACTCAGCCGCGTCATCAGCCTGACGAAGGGGCTCGTGGTCCTCCTGTTGAATCGACCCACCGGAGGGAATGTGCAGGACTGTCTCAGTCGTCCACCCGGCAAGACGAAGGCACCCATGTCATTACATACAGAAGGAAGGCCTTGTCAACTGCTCCATCTTCTGCCCGCCAGAAAGACTATGGTGGTGCGTCCGGGAGGGCAGCCCTGCGGGAGATAAGCGAAGGATCGGATGAGGAAACGGAGGGTGATCCTGGGATTGGTGTTGATCGGCATCCGCAGGGTAATCATGCCGTCGACGATGAGGAATGTGGGGTCGAAGAGGACGATGCCGAAGAGGAGAAAAGGGGGAGAGAGAGAGAGGGAGAGGATCGTGAGGAATCTATGAACGACTGCGATGACGGGGAGTCTCGGCAGCACGACGAGGGGGACTATGGGGGCGATGACGAGGATGGAGGGCAAGAAGCGTCGGCTGATGTGGAGGTCGATGAGGGAACAGGAGATCGGTCGGAGGGCAGTGTGCACAAAAGGAAGCGGCGATCTTCAATAAGTCCGCAGGCGACGGTGGATAAACGCGCTGCGAAGAGACTCATTGTCGCTGCATCTCGAGAGACACTCTGAGCTTTTCAAGAGGCGGTCGCAGAAAACGTGAAGAACCGCAAAGGGAAGGCGTCAACCAGGACGACAAAAGCGGAGAAATATCCACTGAAAAGAAAGCAGATGGTCGATGAGGGTGACTCCGGAGAGGACGCCGAAGGGGTTGCTCCAAGGGCTCCGTCATAACAGACACAACCTTCCGCCGACACCCGTTATGACGCCATCGACACAACACGGTGCTTCTTTTTGGAGTTCGATGAGGATGGGTTTGCGAAGAAGAATCGGGAACACGTTCAAGTGGATATAATGAAGATCTTGCCAATTCCTGAAGGTGACATCCTCTTCAACCATAGAACATTGGACGAAACGTTGGTGCAGTCCATATACGATGCGATCCATTATGCGGCTAAGGAAACCAACGGGAAGTGGGATATCATGACTTTCATCCTGGCTCTCATTGTACCGAACGGGGACGGCTCTCAAGGCAGACGGATCACACCGAAGGAATTCAATGTCGCACTGGCTCATACATACCACTGGTATGTTGTTGATGGCCAGCACACGGCTGAGGCAATGAACAGACTCATTAAGGACAAGTCACCGGCCGAGAAAGTGTACGGCTTGAGGTCGTACTCTCATGTACGCGTTGTCTACTTTGACGATGACAAAAAGAGAGGATATCCGTACGTCTCCACATTCGACAACACAAGGGAGGAGCGTTCCATCCCGAGATCGTTTTCGTCGTCTGTGCGGCAAATCAGAAGATTTTGGGATAAGAGGAATAACCGGATCCGTCCTTCGGGCACCGTGTCCCCGAATGACGTCGAGGGAATGGAACGGAAAAAGAAGTGGGAAGCGTTCATGAACGCCACCTGCAAAATGACACCTGACTCCGGTCTCATGAACTCGTCCCTGGAGAACGACTACTGCAAGGACTGGACGAACAAGATGCGCGGGTACATGAATCTTGCGCAGTGCGGCGAGATGGTATGGCCACTGGTAGAAAAATTCTTTGGCATGTACGAGAAAGGACTATTGTCAAGAATCGACGGTGTGAGATACGTCGATCTGCCGGGGAAAATGGAAGGGAGGCTGCCTGGGCAATACTTCCTCAAGGACAACTCCGGCAAAAAAGTCTTGTACCACTGCATCAAGGCCAGAAAGGGGCCGCAAGGCGCAACGGTGTCTATACCGGACTGGACGCCCTCAATCTTTAAGCTGTTTGGTGATATGACAGCGAGAGAGAAGCAAGTGGCGCTGCATCACATGATGGGCGGTGATGTCATCGTGACATCACGTACGGTACCTCGTGGTAGATGCAACATTGCGGACCTGGTAAAATATACTCGGCGTGAGAGATATATGGTCCGTATGTTCAACTACAAATTGTTCAAGGTCGAGGGGAGGTGAAAGGAAGAGTGGAACGTTGACTTCTTCATCGGTTATACGACCATCTTGGAAAGGTACAGCAAAAACGGTCTCACTGACGAGAAATGGACCGAGGAACACGACCGCATCCCTGACGACAAGGCGAGATAGGTGCCGAGGCGTTTGCGCGGTCCTGATGAGATTCATGGCGGGAACGGTGCGGGGCTGGAGGCAACCCAAGCCATGTACAAGGAAACCCCGTTCCACCTTAAGTGTTTCATCTACGAGGCGATCGATTGCTTGGACGACTTGAGAGCGGAGGTTAATCGGATATCCTCCAATGCTCGTCACATCTTTTGGGAAGTGAGGAAAAGGATTACCACGATCCTGCCATATGAAATCGAACCGAAGGGAGTGCTCACCGACAATGAGGAGGTTGTTGGTACATCGACGGGGATGAAGATACGGGCAATCATTCTCGATATGTCAACATCACAAAAATGTGTTCCATGGGATGATGACGAATTTTTCGAACTGCACGCTTTCCTCACGACATGCTGTGGCGAAAGCTCGGCCTTGATCATTTTCGCGCTGATGAAGCACCAGAAACAGGTGATGCAGAGTGTGTACAAGTGGGACGATGTGGAGGTGCTCACTGGGTCATGGTACAGACACTACACACCTTCGACAACCGTGAACAAGTACGGCAACATTGCAGTTCGGTACATTGATATGATGGCTATTGTCCTCCACGCCGAGAACGACAATTTGAACAATATAACGGTTGCGCCGAAATTGCGAGCCGAATTGACAAATTTAAACATTGAAGAGGGTGAGTTTGTGAGGTGCTCAAAGGAGTGCATCGACGTGGAGGGCGACACTGATGTGGTTTATTCTTGGATGGAACGAGAGCCTGCACGTCTCCGTAAGCTATGCAGCTCATTCATCAGGGAGGATGACGGTGTGATGCTGCTGGGCAGGGCGCATGCGGGACTGATTTGGGAACTGACTCACACCGGACACCACGTGTTTGCGTGTGACGACACGACAAAAGAGCTCACATACCTTTCCAAGTTTTTGGACTTCTATGTGAAGGATCCGGGGAACAGATGCAGGTTCGAAAAGTCCCAAGTCGAGCACCGCAAGGACCGGGACATATACTATAAGCTTGGTAGAAAGAGGGAGAAAGTGTGGGCTTACTTGTTCGGTGACGCTCCACAGTCGGCGGTTGGTAACGACTACGTCATCAGGAAAAGCCAACTCTAGATAGCAATGAACGAGTACCACGGCTCGCACATGGGTGCTTTCCACATGTTTGTCGCACGTTGTGAGCATCTGTATTTCAATATGAAGAAAAGAGCACTGTCAAGTCGGGACTATGCAGACTTGGCACGTAAAGCCGACAACTTCAATAACATCGATTGCGACGAAGACACGTCAGACTCCGACCTGGACATCCCGTCGCGCGCGGCACGAGGTGCGGCGGAGAGAGCGCGTGGCGAGGAGCTGCAAGGGAGCACCAATGGAGCTCCGGAGAAGGCGAGTTCGAGTATGGGAGCAACACGTGCGAGTGAGGGAAATGTGGAAACAAGAATGACTGGAAGGGGAGAAATGAATGGTGTACCAACAAACCCAGTGGGTGCCACTGAGGGGATAGTTAACTCACAGGGCAACAAAGGGGGAGGAGAGAATGGGTGTGCAATGGCCCCGCCGACAGCTGGGCCATCATCGACACATGCACCGCAGGCCGAGCAACGAACACTCACGTCCATGGACACCGATGAAGACGAAGAGTTGGATATGACAGCACTCACGCCAAAGCTCATGCCAGGAAGACCGTTGCCTCAAGGCTTTGCCCCAGACCCTTCAGTGCCATACTTGCTGCAGGACAAGTACAAAGAGTCATCGGAGGAGGATTGGGGTCATCATATTCTCTGGCATGAGGGTGTGTTCGAACCGTGTATGTTTGCAGGCCAGTGGCAGATGGCTGTGAAGACAAGAGACCGAGGGTGGGTCGCGAAGGAGAAAAAGGACGCTGCGATATGGCACAGCGTGACGGAAGCGCAAATTTTTCGGCGAGTTTTGAAAGAAAACGCCGGCGCAAGCGAGTAAGCTGTAGTGGCAAAGACGAAAGCGTTGTTTCAGCAACTGCGTGCGAACAAAAAGCTAGAATTCAGCACAAAGTTCTACGACCTTGCATCAAGTGTATTGTACGGCTCCATCAATTGGAAAATCGAACTGGCTTCAGCAGTACAAGGAAACGATAGCATCAACTCTCTGAAGACTCAGGACGTTATCGCATCTAACACCATCATTGCGATTGCCAGAGGGGATCCAGCATGCGAAACGGACCCACGTGCGAACGAAGGTCATGTGCAGGATGAACAATAGCAAGCATATGCTCAACAAAGCACTCCGAGAAGCGCAATGGGGGATTCCACAATGATACGCAAGGACGACGACGACATGGAGTCGGACGCATTGACAGAGCAGCCAACAGGGGGGGTCAACGATGGGACAACAAACGTTGAATCTTTCGGGTCTCTTGTAGTGACAATGGTGGCGAGGCAAGGCGTATTTGAGATGATGGAGACCGATGCTGGACAGGATGATGAAAACCAGGCGGTGAAGGTGCCACAAGAGGAGGTGGCAGCAACAACAAAGCAGGCAACGAAAGGTGAGGGATCCCGCGAACACATTTCCATAATAGATATGACATCGGAGAGTACGGGCGAGGATATGATCCAAGAGAAGGAACAGAAAGATGGCAACAATGCGGCAAGAGTTGAAGGTGACCACGAAAAGGACGTGCAACAACTGAGACAGTCGACGAGGCCAGTGATTAAGAAAGTTGTGGTGGATGCGTAGATATTGCTTAGATGGTCATGGACGTTTACACGGTTCAGGTTATATAGATGTGTTGTCGCAACTCGGTAGGTTTGAAAACTATGTGAGACAGGAACGAGTGTCTACACGTTATAGGTTATACTCTTGTGTTATTGGAAGTGTTATTGTGACAGTGCAGTTCTCGAAATTGCACTACCGTTCATAGAGGGTGACCCATATC